CAACACTGGTCAACCTAAAGCTCAAGTAGTTCGGTGTTGAAGATAGGTACTTATTATGTTTTTTTTTTACTTATTGACTTAAATGTTGCCGATCAGTGACGGTGTGATAATGGTAACACCCCCGCCGCAGCAAACCTGCAGACTAAGCAAATTTCCATTTGACTGATTGGATTTACACTGAAATGTCTAGGCCTACTTAAAAATATAACATTTATTCCCAATTTAAATAGAATTAGTTTAACAAGTACTTAGGTTTGCTGCATCAGGGAGGGTAAAATTGTGTTTTTTTTTGTAAAATGTTAATAGTTAGTAAGAAATAAAATAATTTTCCAAATTTGATCAAAATACGTTCATAAACAAGCAAACTACAACAGTTTACTTATTCTCCATAAGAATAACATGGGAATTTTAAATTTACAATTTTTTGGAATTTTCTCCGTAACCGTTAAGCGCATAATAACGCTTCAATATACTAAATTATTTGTTTTTTTAAGCTCTACAAAATGGTTTGGAAAAAAATTGCAAAATTTTAAGTTTTTTGGGTCAAAAATGGGAAAAACCTATTTTTACCCCATAAAACCCCCCGTAAACACCCGTTCCCATGGTCCGATCATGCTGGATCGCGAACTCGTTCAAATAAACGTAGGTTTACACGTTTGTACCAAATTTAATCAAAATCGGATCATTTTTGCTTGAGTTATTGTGCTGACGGACACATATATATATAAATATATATATACTAGCTGACCCGGCGAACTTCGTATCGCCTAAGTTATAGGTTTCCCCTAAGACAGACCGATGGAAAGAAAGTACCGTTACGTTTAATTTTCAAGATGATCTCGTTCGCATCGCTCAATCACGTCCTGGTTGAAGTGCGTTCGCTACGCTCACTCACCGTTGGGTTGGAGCTCGTTCGCTACGCTCACTCACCTTTAGGTTGGAGCTCGTACGCTGCGCTCACTTGCCTTCAGGTTAGCTCGTTCGCTACGCTAACTCGCCTCCAGGTTGAAGTTCGTTCGCTACGCTCACTCACCTTTGGGTTGGAGCTCGTTCGCTACGCTCACTCACCTTTAGGTTGGAGCTCGTTCGCTGCGCTCACTTGCCTTCAGGTTAGCTCGTTCGCTACGCTAACTCGCCTCCAGGTTGAAGTTCATTCGCTACGCTCACTCACCTTTTGGTTGCAAATTAGCTGTTGTCATAAATGTAAAAGAAATAATAGTGCTGCACCCTGTTGGTAATCCTTGTAACTTTAATGCTATTGAACATCATAGAACAGAACCAACTTGTTTAATTGAAACAGCTGTTAAGATTCATTAATTCCATTTCTCATAAGGTTAACATGGGAAACTCCAGAGCCACTGGGGCGGAGCCCTTTTAAGAATTTCGAAACGGGAAATAGTTTACGTCCGATTCGCATACCTACAGAATTTACACACCAAATTTCATAACGATCGGTGAAGTCGTTCCGGAGGAGTTTGCAGACAAACACTGTGACACGAGAATTTTATATATTAGATATATATATATATATGAATTTGAACGGATGGTGTTTTTGGCCTCTGGTGTTTTTGGCCTCTAGGGACCTCAAAACAAAAAAAAAAAAAAACGGTCCCGCGTCCAGGTCTTACCATGAGTACTACGGTAATAGCTAATATGGGAAATTCGCTAAAAAGAGCAATAATTTAGTTTAAACGAAATTCCAGCAAAAGCAGCTAACGTTAAGTGTTCAGTAGACTGGAAAACCCAAGAATTGTGCTTGAATTTTGATGACCAGAAAAAAGGCTGGGTAGCCGAGAGGTTGTGTACTCCCCTTCAAATATGAAGGTCGCTGGTTTGATTCCAAGCAAGATTGTTTCCAGACGGTTTGGACCGTTCCCTTTTTAAATCTAAAAAATTTGACTCGTAGAAAACCTCACAAAATTAAATCTGATAACTGCAGGTAAAAAACTATTCTGTTTCCACTAAACTAAAATTGTTTTGAACAAATGCCAGAGTTAAATTTAGGTGGATTCAGTTAACAATGACGACTGTTCTCAGCAATTGTAGTTCCCTGATAAGTTACCTAATAACCATTGAGGATAAGCCTTATATTTTGCACCTTCATCATGCTAATGCAAAGTTTGGTTAACAAGAATAGTGAACCATCCGTAAGAAAATGACAGTTGTTTAAAGATTTAAAAGTGTTTTAATTTAAAGAAATTGGCTAATTTTGAAAATCTTCGAACATCTGCCATTTTGCGCAGGATCAACCTTTTGAAGTGCGGTTTGCGGCATTGTATTCTACTAAAAAAGACCTTTAATTTGATGTGCATATTGACCTATGCTTCTATTTAAGATTTTCTTCCGACTCCTAGTGGGCCGTCCCCCTGAAGAGTTATTGGATCACTGAATATGTGTTAAAATAGAGTTTTATGCCCTGTAACTTTGTACCAAGTATTGTAGCTCTATCTGCATTATTTTTTAAAATATTTAACTGTCCAGGGACTTTTTTACCACCCTGTATATATGTATGCCCAAGGGTCACCCCCGGTCACCTCCTTCGCCTCCCCCCACTCTGGATCCGCCACTGTCCTCAATTTGATCCATTATTTATTATTTATTTAAGTAACCCAACAGGAAAAAGATTGTTTAGAATTTTCAAGTTCATTTTAGAACAAACTGTTTGCTCCGCCTCCCAGTTAACTGAGAATTTCATGAAGTAGAAACATTTTAAATAAATAATAAGTGAAGTTAAATAAAACTCATCGTGTTTTTAAAAAACATTACACAAACTTCACGGATGCCAATATATTTCCAACCATTCTAGGAATTTCCTAAAATTGATATTGTAAGTTGAAATAGGTTTATCATACTAATATTATAAATGTGAAAGTTTGTGCGTTTGTTCGTTTATTTGTTTGTTTGTTTGAAGTTCAATCACGCATTAATTACTAGTCGGATTGAGTTGAAATTTTGTATGATAATAGCTCACATTCCCGATTAAACATATAGAGACATATTCTTACCTCAAAAATCCTTTCGGGTTCCGCCCCAGCGGCTCTAGAGTTCCCCATGTTAACCTTATGAGTATTCATATTTAAAAGGAATTAAATAATTTTGCCAGCTGTTTCAACTACACAATTTGTTTCTATGATGTTCAATAGCATTAAAAGGTTATACGGTTTACCAACAGGGTGCAGCACCATTAGTTCTTTATACATTTATGACAACAGCTAATTTTAACCAAGCAGCAACAAAACCTGAGTGTGTGAACTTTACTTCTTTCTATTGTTTAGGTGAAGTGGTAGAACATTATGGCTATGGTAGATGTTCTATATACTATAGTATACCGTAGATTATAGTAAACCAAATTTTCTCAAAACGTGTCCTCTCTCATTGCAAATGCAAAGCACGAGTATTTAACTACAATAAGTATTGTATACCATCCCCGTACGAAGGACGGGTACTCAGCTAGTTATTAATAAAGTTGAGAATACTAAAGGTTCTACAAAACAAAACATTGAATAATAGAAATACATTTGTATTTAAAGTAACAGATAGATTGACAAAATTGTAAAACGATTGTATAATATCAAGCAATATCAAATTATTTACAGTTTCACGGTTACAACTTTTAAACTACTCTTGTTATGACTCAAAGTTAACCTCTTTAGGACCTTTCATTTTATGCTTTTGTTAGTGGGGACTGGTTAAAACAGCACAGTAGGTTTTGCAAATATGATTGTGAGATGATATATAATCTGAACTAATTTATGCGTGTTGATAATAATATGTATTTAAATTTAAGTACTTAAATTGGTTCGATTATATGTTTACCTCATATAACATTTGAACATGGATTGAAACATTAGATGTCTTTGGAATACTCTGAGAGTGAGAAGCAAGACATAACTTTCAGCAATGATGCATCAAAATCTACCTTTACTGAGTGATTCAGAAATGTAATTGTAAAATATTTTGTCAACATGACTAGAATGTTAATAAAATAGATGTATCAGCACGAAATAGTTTGTAAGATAAAAAATTGCAGCATAGGGCAACTTATATAGTGATCTAACCAAAAACATTGTTATTGTTTCAATGTAAAAATTCAATTGATACAAAGTAACTACGTTACCAATTTATGTTTGTAAACAAAAATAAATTTTTTAATGGCGGCATAAAAACAATTTAAATAATAATTTACTACACAAATTATTTGTAATGTAAAACATTGTTCACCACTCGGAGCAAAAGTATATTATTTATGGTACTTAAACTGTTTTATAGTAAGTGGCAGTACAGTGTATTATTAGTTGCTTGTTGCACTGTTCTACACACTGCTCAAGCGCTACTACTCATTAAGTGGCATCCTGTCCACACACTGTTGATGTATACTGAATTGCGGCATGGTGCCACTATTTAGAGTGTAGGCTGGCGCGAGAATTGGCAACATAGCATTAGGGAAGTTATAATTCCGGCGGACGGCATGAGGCGCGCTAGCTACCGGTGTGGTTTCGTGTTCCACAATTCGGCGTGTACCTGCGCTGCTTAAACTCACATCAACGAGTTCAAAAATACTCAATTGTGGCATGTGATGTTTAAACTACGTAATAATGCTGGAAAACCCCAAAAATGATCGAATTAGCTGTGGCAGAAAAAGGTGCCACAATTTTTTAAGGTGCCACAGTACGGCCGTGTGCCTGTGAAGGATGCCACTATTCGGTGAATACAGACACACTCACACACACACGCTCAGAAATCACTTCGAAAACCACTTTTTTGCAGATATAAAACGGATATATCCACTCAAAACTCAAACTCGAAAGTTTTGACGAAAACAATACTTTCTCCATATACTATGGTATAGTGGGAGAAAGTAAAAATTCCTTATATTTATCTTTCTGTTTCTATGAGTTGAATACATGTTTTAGTAAGAGAAGAAATTGCTGTTAGATTTTCAAGTGAAAGCGTGCAGGTTCCCCTAGTACTTTAAGGATAAAAATCACCACATTTACTACTAAAATATAAATTTATTTTTCTAAAATATAAAAAAGTTCCACGTCCACATTTTTTAAATGTCAAAAACCAAAAACTAATAAGTAAAACTAATATGTAAAATATATTACAATAAAAGGTACTCGTAGTTAAATTTTATAAATGCAAATGAACAGTTCTTATAACTAAACTGTGGAATAAATAGAACACAGGAAATAGTAGTTTATGCAACAATTGCGTAAACATAGTCCTAAGAAACAAGTAGATTTTTACCTTATAACTACTACAAGTGTCGTAAAAGCTAATTACGCAAGTTGCTTACACAACTTACCTATGACCGTTTATTAATTATGTTCGTAAAACTGTATTACCTTTACTCTTTTGGTTACTTTTTTCAGGTAACAGGTAATGCTAGCAGCATTATTACCATAGGTAACCTCTCAAGTACAAGTAGGCTAAATGTAATTTTTTAGCAATACTGAATGTATTGAAACCGTTCAAGAACAATCTTGCATTTTCAAAATCTTTTAATAAACCTTCCTGTAACTGTTGGTTAGCAAATCATTTAGTTCTCTTAGGATAAGTAAGGAATGTGTGAGTTTCCAGAGGAAGTCAGCAGCTCAACAATTGAATTGTTTGTTACCAGTTGATAAATTGCCATTCAAAGCATTAACATTTTACTTATTTTCTCTTAATCCTTGAACCCAATTGGTCCTTTTTATTGCACTAGGGCTGTAAAGAAAGCAAACCATGTGGTAAAGTGAATCTTTTTGATTCTAAAAATCAAACTGAAAAAGCTAGTTTGAAAAAAACGATCGTAGGTAAATGTTGTTTACAACACAGTTATTGTTACTACATCACTAACAAACTAGCACAGTTAGATTATACTAGACACAGTCCATAAATAGAGAATTTAGGTCTTGTACATTATGAGCAGTAGACTATTAGGATTGTGGGTTTCACCAAAGAGTTAATTCCGTAACTAAACCTTTATAGTCTTAACGTCATCGTCTCCGAACTGGGCAAATAAACACTGCTCTGATGAGCATGTAACAATGGAAATCCCAAACTTTTAGTAGGACTAGCTTGTAAGCTCAGAAATAAAGAAAAATCAACCTGTCCTCGGCCGAAAAATACAGAGAAGTGTGTGACAGGATACTTGGATTTCCATATTACATAAATAATTAAATAACATAAAAAAATTATCTGTTATAAGTTTCGTTTTTAAACACTTCATTGGTGTTTACAAGTTTCAAAAGTGTTCAATCTGTGGGTACTCTGTTCAACTTTATTTATGGTCTGTGATAGTATTAGCACCTATCTAATGCAATAATAATAATATGTCTTATAACTAACTGGTAATCTCGAAAACTTAATAAAATGTAATTCATATCACAGTGCAACTTAAGTATACTCAATAAGAATAAGTGTTTAAGCAAAAGGAAATGTGTTTACAAAACTTAATTTGGCACATTGTCTTATGTTTTGTAACTCTACCCCATTCCCATGTCTCCTTTAAGAACCCCTTTTTACAGCAAATCAAATAAATATCTGAAGTCAATCAATCAAGCATTTCACAAATGGTACCAAACTCCATGATTGCCTTGATAAAAAAAATCAGACAACACTAACAGGGAAGTAGACATCTAGATAAAACAACCAGCCCATGAGACAATCATCAACCCAAAGCATTCGATACAAATTCCAATAAAATGTGTTCCTATTACGATGGATGCCTATTGCATGCTATACTTTGAGCTCATGCAATACAACCAAAATAACCATTTTAGGACATTCTCTTGTGAGTAGAGGTTAGTGAAAAGTCCTATTCAAATTTCAATATTTTATTTTGAAATGTGAATTTGTTTTGAGAAATGTACAGACTTTGAAAAACTTGGATGCCTGCAAAATCGCCTCAATTTATTTATCGTAGGAGGCAAGTTAATAAGACACACTTTTGTTTCTTAAATTTTACATTTTTTGCTACACACAATATGTGAAATTTGTATGGTTAGCAATCTTGAGATCAACTCTTGTGAGGCAGCCCATAGCTTCATTAAGAATAGAGTAATCTATACCCTCTCTTTAAATCTCTTTAAAAATAAGTTGTATGATAATAAGAGTGCTCTCTTACTGTTTCTACAATTACACTACTATCCTTACCTCTAAACATAATTTAATTTAAGTACGGTACCTATAGTTCTATGTTTAGCTAATACATAGCTTCAGTGTTACAATTGCTGGAGCAGCACGGTTTTGGTGTACAAAATTACAAATTAAAATAAATCTACTTCAACCTATACTAATTATGTTTTAAAAGCATTGTTTGTTTCTGACTTAGAAAAAAGCACCTTTTTTTCATTCTAATTCCAATCATTTCTTTAACAACACATTTATTTTTCAAAATATCAACTATGTTTGCCTTTTTTTTCAACAGCAGGAAATATCCGTAATTTAGGGCACCTTGTTGTTGGACAGCATTGATAATCTTTTTGTGGCTTCATCAGGCCCAATTTCGTATATGAGCTGACTAGGCTGTAGCCCAGATCGCCAAAATTTTAATGGGCAAAAAATATAAAACAAGTTCTCAAAGTTCCATTATTTACTTATCACAAGTCCCATTGTTTAATTTTTTGTTCAATCTTTCTCACTGCCCAATGACAATTAATTGTTAGTGAGAAAGATTGAACAAAAAATTAAACAATGGGACTTGTGATACGTAAATAATGGATCCAAACTTAGGACCCAAAATTAATTGTTAAACAAAGGTAAAGACAGATTGACATGAGATGAAAAGGCTGCACAACTGACAAATACCTAGATACTGTGAAGTTTTGTTTGAGTAAACATTTGGCCCTAATCATAACCTTACAAATAGAATAATCATTGTAATGGAAAGCATTTAGTTGGTAACGGCATTATGCACGTAGAACAATCTCTGCCACATCGCTATTTCCTTTTAAATAGCTTTTTGATATGCATTGTACCTGTTATTAAATTTAGAGAAAGTACTGTGAATGGAAATATGTCTAATAACAATAACACTCTGTGAAACATATATTTACTCGTACAATCTGTTGGCCCATCCTACGTACGGGAATCGAGTAGTAATTAAAACTGAATATAATCTAATAACAATAACACTCTGTGAAACATATATTTACCCGTACAATTTGTTGGCCCATCCTACGTACGGGAATCGAGTAGTAATTAAAACTGAATATAATTCAGAACAGCTAGTTTACACTCGTACACAAATGCTGGCAGTTTTAATGGGGAAAATCATCTCATAAACAAATGTCTTGTGACCACCTATATCTTAAATCAGATTATACGCCTATACAATATGCATTTTAAATCTGATAATTTTAAAATAAAATAGCAATTGTGTTGATTTGAAAAGCCTTGAAGTGAGATTGGCGGCCAATTCACACACACTGGTCTTGAGTACAGTAGCTGCACACCAATATTTTACAACCCATAGTCGTGAGCGAAACATGTAGCACTCAAATCACCTGATTTGTTTACTCGCCTCTCGTGATATACAGCAGAGTTTTACACATCCTGTATGTTTAGATTGCAATCATTGACAGTTGTACATTAGAACAAATAAAAAATACATAGAACAAATAGGAGAAGCTTAACTGTAGGACTATACAATAGTGAAAGTATATTATACACACTTTTGGGACAACATAATGTACAATAACGTTTCAACCAGGTTTTCCATACAAAATATACTAAGACGAATGCGAGTTGTATAACTATACAATATACAGCGATGTGTATTATACACAGGTGTTGGACCGAGTGTGTGGTAACGGCTCAAGCTAGAGCTTCATCTCATTAACAGTTGCGAATATAAATCACTTCCGCACCCGGTGATCCCACCTCGCGAAATCTACAGCCTCTGCATTCATCGAGAACCATTCTCAACCCAGTGTGTGATAACACTATATGAAATGTATTTACATAATTCTTAAATCGATGGACAAAACTGCTCTCTTAATGTTGCCGATGACATGTTTTGAAAAAGTGCTCTAAACATAATATTTATCGAATAAAATCCATCGTGTTTTACGATATTGAGCTTAGATACTTACCGTACCTTATCGTACTTGATCTGAGGTACCTTACTATACCTCCATGGCCACTGAAATCTTAAGGGGATTCTGGCTTCCCATTCTCTTTTATCCCCTGCCTCTTCTAATGTAGATCCTAGTCTGGAGATGTATTTCATTACTTGGTCTTTCCACTTCATTCTTGGTCTTCCAAGTGGTTGTCTACCTTGTAGTACTCCTTGGAATACATGTTTTAAAGTCGTCTCCACCACGCATAGCCTGCATCCGAGCCTTTTACTTTTGGAAAGCACCCTGAATCAATTTTGGTTTCTACTGACATCCTGCAGCTAATTTGGCAGTTTTCTAGAGACCGGCTAAACCGGTTGACATTTTAATTACTAACAATAATTTTGGTTTTTTTGGTATGCCGACAAACACACATTTAAACATCAAGAAAAGAAGTATCAACACATAAACTACTTAAACGGTTAAGCGATAGTTTGCTTAGTAAAATATTTTAGCGTGAGTTAAAATTTTAGTTAATGACATAAACTTATACTTACACAGATTGCAGTTACGACGAAACTTGATTATACACAAATGTTTGAGATGTGTTGCTAAAAATCACACATTTCCTAAAAACGCAGATCCTTTACAGTAAGAAAAAAATATGTTTTTAAGTGAAATAGTATGTAGGCATAACTTTTAATATCTTGTAAAATAAACATTCCAATGAATGTTTGAAACCATCTGTCAGTTAAACCAGCACTGAAACAACTTCAACATTCTCTCCTCTCCCTCTTAAAATTATCTTTCTTTTAACACAAAATCTGTCAAGTGGTTGATTCAGAATTGTGAAATAAAAAATCCCTGTAATATATAAGAAGAAGATACTGATAACTGACAAGACGGTAAATACAGTACATATAAAAGATGGCGCAACCATGATCAGACGCAGTAAGCACCTATGGGTCTGATGATTGGTCTTGAGTGTCCAATTGAAATCAATCACACCTTACCATCTTTTGTAATATGTAAAGCCTTGCGAGTTAACAGTATAAGTAAAAATATATGTTTCAAGAGTGTTATTAGACATATTTTGATTACTTTCAGAATATTCTTGTAACATTTCAAACATTTTCTACCACTAATGTGTGTGATGAACACTTGCACATTTCTTCAATAATTTATCATGAAATTGTTTCTACAAGTAGTTAAAGCTTTATAAATAAACTATTCCGGGTTAAAACAATTTGTAACACTTACAACAATCTTACACTTGTAACTTAGCTTAGGAAATATAGCCTATTATTATCACATCATACACTGCGCTTTTAGTAATCCCAACTTACAAGACAAAATCCAATTTTTGACTGTAATAATTTTCCAATTCTAGCCTGGATGATGAATCTTCTTTTTTGCTTCAGCACGATTCACATAATCTTCTTAATTGTTTTGTTCATAATCAATCTAAAAATACAACATCTTTTTAAACAGAGGCACAATAAATTTATTTGATTTTATCAACAGATCATTTTAACATAACTTAACTCTTCCCGGTTGGGAAACTTGTGGCTGTAGATGTGCCGATTCTGCAGACAGCTGGTTAGTGATTGTTCAGTAACAAGCTGGTTTGTGCCACTTTGGCACTACTTTCCTGCGCTCTGCAGAATCACTGTGACCTTGTACCAACTATGCTTCACAACTTAAACTTGCATTTTTAATTTAACTGAAACATCTTTCTTCAGGGCATAAATCTTCCAATTTACCATACAAGGTTCCTTTTCAAATAAAATCTTGCCCAATAAATAATTTATTAAGACTTTTTATCCATTATTTATAATCTGTTGTAATATTTTGAAAGAAGAGTTGAAGATTTATCTGCCATTTTAATTTAAATGCACAACCAGGTAGCAGAAATAACTGTTTTAGTAAGAAAATATTTTATGCACTACAGTGCACTATTTTTACCCAACTTAAAGTAAAGAAGTATGGCCCGCAGACCCCTACTTAAAATTCACAAAAACACCCCATTTGCCTCTAAGAGCTACAAAACAAAAGCTAAATGAACTTGAATTAGAACTAAAGCTCTCAAACATCAAGGAAATAAATAGGGAAATATAGACTAAAACAGAACAAATCTAAATAACGTGCAGAAAAATACCACTCTACTAACTCATCTGTAGTGAACTCAACTTATTTACAACTAAGCTTAAAGTAATTTTATTTAACCCTTGAGGAGGCGCTTCACCAGTAAAACAGGAGCGGGCGCATGCAGAGTTTTATTCCGCAACACTAAATAACATAAATTTTACCCATTTTACTTGTTTTTATAACGAAATATAATATGTAAATGTTGAATAACCTAATCATAAACCTAGTTTCTTTGTTCATAACATTCTTATATATTAAAACGTGACAGGGTTTTTTTATTTCACGATTCTGAATCAACCACTCGACGGATTTTCATGATTTTTGTGTTGAAAGAAAGATAAATTTGAGAACTAGGGAATGTCGAAGCCATAATTTTAATTTAGGGACCCAGTTTTTTACAAATTAAGTTTTAATTTTTGAAAATTCTAGCAGCCGACGCTTAAGTTCTAAATTAGCTTTTGGTATATAATATAATTTGCTTAACATAACAGCGTTTGTGGCACAAATTCAGCATTTGGATAAAAATTTAAAGACATACTTAGGGTTGACTTATTTATCCTATGTGTAATTCTATAGGCCTAATGATTGATACGTTTATTTATTTGGTAGATTATTTAAATATACATAGTAAAATACTAGACGTTCAAAATTATTTTTTAAAGCAGTCTTTAAAGTCTTAAGTTTGTTTTAGTGGAATATCATTTGTTTTAACTCACAGCTGGTTGAATACAAAAATATTCTATATAACTATGAGGTTAGTTTCGTTACTCTGTGATTTGTCATTGATTATAGGAAATAAGTAATTTGATTATATAACCATTGCTGTATACAAATCGGAAGCTCACGAGTCTTTAAATGAAAGCTTTTGCAAATTATTGTGACGCAGGGCCCCATAATTTCCCCGCGTCTGGGCAATTATCCCGCCACCGGGGATAACTTCTGTACCTAGGAGTACCTGGTTGACGAGAGTCTACAGTAGTCAGTCGTCAGTCGCCACGGGGAGCTTGTAGAAGACGGTCCATGGACACGACGGGAGTGTCGGGTCGAGATGGTAACATGATTTGGGGTTGCCGGAGACCACAGGTCTAAATATAGTAAAGGAGGGTCCGAAGTAGAGCGTTAATTGATTAATATTTTGTGTGAGTTTTATTGATGATACGTTAAGTTGTTTTTTCTTGGTTTTGTGTCAAATTAAAGTTTGTTTTGAGCAACTGAGCGTCTCTTCACTTCAGTCCACCCCACGCCCCGAAGGGATAAAAGGTAAAACAAATATTTAATCTCATTGTAAGCCAAGCGAGTAGCTAAGGGGGGTGTGACAAGCTGGTGGAGGCGCCGGGTATTCCTGAGGTGTTTAGAATGTTTAGATCCTGAGACGGAATACGGACAGGTATATAAAAGAAAAATGGTTTGTAAGAGATAGAAGGAGTTTATTTTAAGGTCATTTGAATTAGAATTTAAGTAACAATGGTGGATGAAGGTCATTCTTGGTACCGGTAGGGAGGGGCAGTATAAAGCCATTATCTTTTAAATTTGTAATATAAATTTGAGTTTTGTAGTTAAAAAGTAAGATAAATTGTGTTGAGTTTTGTTACTGCTGATATCAATTAGAGTGACTTATACCCAGGTCAAACTCCTTGAGAATGACTGCAATCTCCATCTCCTAGTAAATAGCTAATAGTGTAGTCTGTAGCTTTTGCCCACTCAATTTCTGGTGACTTTGAGGACGAAAGACAGATGAGTAGAGGTGTTGCTCTTGCCTTCAGAAAGAAATTTGGCCGACCTTTACGTTCAGAGTGCCTAAACAGCCATGTTACTCTCCAGAACAAGCAAGGTGCCGCAATTTATGGGCTTGTGACCAAGGATATTTATAGGAGTAAACCCACAGTCATGGACTATAACCTAGCTTTCAAGAAATTCACAGAGGAATTCAAAAAGAAAAACTGCAAAAGACTTCTTTGTTCTCCATTGGGCTGTGTGAGGGACAAAATATCACTAAATATTTTCTCCAAAAATATAGTGGATTTCCACTACATCACTGGGGCAAGGGTGGAAATAATTGCTCAGAAGGAGAAACCAACAAAAGTGCTAAAGAATGGGCTAGAATATGAAACATTTTTAGCTATGCTACGGAGCTGCATCACAAGAGAGATGAATTTAAGAGTTCCTGCGAGCCTACCTGAAGATGCTCAGACTCTATCTCAGAAGAGTGTCAAAATAGCAAGTACACCTGTTGCTGTTCTACATGACCACCCATCTAAGGAACAAGTGAACTGTAGTAATGTCATAATAGACCATAAATCACCTACATCACTTGAGCACAAAAACTCTGAAGATTGCCAGACACTTACTGGAATGTCATCTGATTCCCTTTTCCATGGATTCAAAACTCCTGACAAAAGTAAAGCTCGAGAATTTATGAGGAGACTACGCTCAATCGAAGAATATTTCATAGGAACAAGAACTGAAACTGATAATGTAAATAATAAGTTAATTAATCATAAGAAGTATTTTTTAAGAAACAAAAAACCAAAACAAACACTAATTTAGCACCTGTTTCAAAAGCCAGTAAGAGTAAGAAATTATATATTTTCCATCAAAACATACAATGTTTAAGTAGCAGAATTGATTCTTTAGAAATCACAATTGATGAAATTAAACCAGATGTTGTTATTTTATCAGAGCACAAATTAACATTAACTGAAATTGAAAATTTTGAATTGATTGGCTATAATACTGTGAGTTATTATGTAAGGAATGTGAATCAAGGAGGCGGGGTATTAATTTTAGTTAAAAAAGAAATTCGATGTAAAAAACTAACTAATTCATTAATAGATCATTTAAACACAGATAAGATTTTTGAATCTTGTACAGTCGAATTAGAATTGAACAATGTTAAGGTTATTGTAGCTGGCATTTATAGAACTCCTTCAAGAAATATTGCTGGTTTTTTAGAAAACCTGGACAAACTTTTATGTTTTGTATCAAGTTTTAATACTAATTTATGCATTGGAGGAGATTTTAATATTGATGTATTGACCGATGATTGTAAAAAAATTGATTTTGTTAGTTTACTTAAGACACATAACATGTATTACACAGTAAATATTCCTACTAGAATAACTGATAGTTGTGAATCGGCAATAGATAACTTTGTTACAAATATTAATAAGACATATGTAAGGGTAATTTGTCTTGTAACTGCACTCTCTGACCACGATGGGCAAATTCTTGAATTGGATAATGTCAAAAATACAAATAAAAATATAAGGCTGTGGGAAATGAAACGTTGTTTTAAAAAACCAAATATTGAAAACTTTGTGAATGATTTGACAAATGAAAATTGGGACAAACTATATCAAACACCAATTGATAACAAATTTTCATATTTTTATAATGTATTGAACTATCATTTTGATAAAAACTTTCCAAAAATAAATGTTAGAAGTAACCCCCAAAGAAAAAATTGGATTGATTGGGAAATAAAACATGAACGGACTAAGCTCATAGATAACTATAGACAAAAAAGGAGAAATAAAAATGTTTGTGTAAAAAAAAACTTAAAAATGCAAAAAAGGAAATACAGAAATCTTGTAATACAAAAGAAAAAGCAATATTTTGAAAACATAATAAATAAATCAGATAACCCTACAAAATCTATTTGGCAATTGATCAAAAAGGAACTGTACAGTAGCAAGGATCAATCAAAAACAGAGCTATTTTTAAACCACGAAGGTAAATGTGTCACTGATCCTTATAAAGTAGTCAACATATTGAATAATTTGTATGCTGACCTTGTAGAGAATATAATTATTCCTGAAATTAAAATGAATAAGAGAATAATAAATAGACCAATAACAGATGCAGTATTAACTAATCATACTTTTAGGTTCAAAACCATTTCAGAAGAGGAGTTGATTCAAATAATAAATTCAATCAAAAGCAAATGGTCCTCTGGGTGTGATGATATCCCAACAAAAATAATTAAAGATGCTAAGTGGGCAATTCTCAAACCACTTCTTCATGTTATAAATGCATGCCTCATTTCAGGTGTTTTTCCTTCTCAGTTAAAAATATCCAAAATAATTCCATTATATAAAAAAGGAAACAAAAATGAACCGTCTAATTATAGGCCTCTTTCAATTCTACCCTCTTTGTCAAAATTCTTTGAAAAATGCATGTTATTACAATTGACAGAATATTTGGAAAATAATAATTTGTTATTTTCCAATCACACTGAACAGCATGGTTTTAGGCAAAAAAAATCCACTGTAACAGCTATAATAGCCTTTGTTGAAAATGTGATTAACAAACTGGATGAAGGTAACCAAGCAGTAGCTGCTTTTTTAGATTTAACAAAGGCTTTTGATAGTGTTTCCCATTCACTTTTATTAAAAAAAATAACTTTCTTTGGTATATCTGGCAAAGAATTAGCTTTGTTGGAATCTTATTTAACAGATCGCCAAAAATATGTAGAAATATCACACATTGAAAATAATAAAGCTTTTAAAATCAATTCAAAAACCAGATCTATTAATTATTCTGTACCACAAGGTTCTGTCCTTGGACCATTTTTGTTTCTTTGCTATTTGGGAAAGTTGCCAAACTGTCTACATACACTTACAGCTAATAACAATTTCAGTATTTTTGCCGATGATATTAATTTAACAATCTCTGACCGAAATATTAATAAAGTTTTTTCTGAAATTGGCACTGCAATCAATATAATTAATGACCAACTAAATAGCTTAAATTTATTAATTAATAAAAATAAAACAAAAATTATTAAATTTTCTTGCAGGAAGTCAAAATCTATTACTTCAACAGCGCCACCTTTCAACCTTTGTGAAAATACTAATTTTTTAGGTTTAGCGTTGGACTGTACTCTTAATTGGACAGGTCACGTTAATAAAGTCTGCTCTAAAATAAGTTCTGGGATCTTTGCTATAAAGAGACTGTCAAATTTCTGTGATTTGAAAACAATTAAATCGGTTTATTATTCAGTAATTCATTCACACATAACATATGGCATTGAAGTCTATGGAGCTACTTCAAATTTTAACATGAATAGAATTTTATATTGGCAAGAAAAAGCATTAAGAACTATGTTAAAACTAAAATATGACACTCCTTGTAAAACTTATTTTTCAGAATTAGGGATAATGACAGTTTACAGCCTTTATATTTTTAACACTATTCTCTATATAAAGAACATAATTGGCACATTATCAAAAAATCTCGACAAACATGAATATAATACTAGACGAAGACATGATTTTCAAATTACAAAACATAACAAAGAGTTTTTTTAAAAAGAAGCCAAGCTATAATGGGATTATCTTTTTTAACAGCCTACCAATTTCAATTAAAAATAAAATAACCTCTGGCAATTTTAAAAATGTTTTAAAATCTTTTCTAATTGAAGGTGCATTTTATAGTTTTAATGAATTCCATACAAAAACTAAGCAACACTATGTTAGTCTTTAAGTTTAGTAATAGTTTTATATTGACGCCATTTATGTATACATATTGTATATAAAAATGAATAAAGATGATTTTGATTTGATTTGATTTGATACAATAATGTTGTTCTGAACCACACGTTATTCATTAGTGTTGATTGAGTTATTTAAGTTTAATTTGTGTTGATTTTGATTCTGAGTAGTATATTTGGTCGATATTTTTGTGTTTATAAACTAAATAATACATTTAAACATGTTTATAATTTTGTATGTATAAAATATACACGCAGTTTGACAATAGCGCATGAGAAAATAAACTTTGCGCTAAGGACTTACGCGATAGGGCGCACGTGGAGTAAACCTCTGCAAACTGACACCGCGTCACTGAATTGCAACTGACAACAAAATGAGGAAGAATTCGGGGGTAAAAATAGCTTAGGGGCATTCCCAGGATGACGTGCGTGAAGTGTAGAGCTGGACACGATGCCGACACCCATTATGCATATTTATATTAACAAAAACTACAAGCGCCCGCTCGAGGGTTAATGATACATCACTAAAACAACTTTTCTGAATTTTAGATAAGTACGAGGATTGTATATAAATGGTATCTATCAAGATACCATCAGCTCCCCATTGTTCAGCATCTAAAATTTTATATTTTATGAATGTAAATATAAATAAATGATGATACATAAACTTGTCTCACCTTACAACAAGACAATGCTATGGTCCCTCTCCAGACGACGCTTGGCCTTCAGTGCTACCACCCCCATGAGATCTGAGGGAGCAGGCAATCCTGCCAACACAGCGCCACTACAAGGCTGGTGGTAGAACACCTGCATTCCTCCACAGTTGTAGCCGAAAGTTATACTGTCGTTTGCTCTGTAGACATGTCCCATTTATTAACTCAATATTGTAAAAATAATATCCAAGAGGTGAATTCAAAATCTTTGACTAATCGAAATATTGAAATGAAATGAAAAAGATACAATACTACATTATTGCCAAGAAATGAAATAAGTTGACAATGTCACAAAAAACTTAAGTACTTTTACTTGAAGTAAAATACAAAATACATTTACAGTACTTAAAATTTTAATACATTCAGAAAGTGAAAATTATTTTTTTAACTAACATGTTGAACGTCCTTTGTCCAAGGTTGGCGACATTTGTAACGTTCTTAATGCAGTTTCCCATGCTTTGCATTAGCAATAGGGGGGGGGGGAGCGGGAAGAGGAAAATGTTCTTAAATTTACAGTATGAAATGGTTACACATATAATATTGATTTTAGACACTGTAATGACTCAAAAACCAATGTTTACAAATATATTCATTAGGCCTAATTAAATTCTAAACTAAATCTTGTTATATTTTTAATATCTATTCATGTTCATTGTTAATATTACTAAAACCATATTGTCTCAACATATACAGTGTGTAAAAAATGTCTCCCCCCCCCCCTATTTATTTTTTTTATTTTTTAAAATAATGAAATATCGTTTGGGGAGTGATAGTAACATAACGTGAAGTTTCTTTTGACATAGTTAAAATTTTTGAATTCCCCCCCTAAATGGGGGGTAAGGGGGGTAACTCAAAATTTTTAAATGTAAACCCCTAGCTTGTGACACCTCATTTGAAAGAGCATTAAAAAACTAGGTAAATGGTGAAAACTAGAAATTTCTATCTAATTTCTAACCGGAATTACAGCCAAAAACGCTCAAAATACGATATTTTTGGGAAACTCAAAAATGTAATTATTGCATACACCCTTTGAGTGATCCCTCATTTGAAAGATAAATAAAAATCAGGCCAATGATAAGGATTAATAATTTCTAACAGGTAATTAGATGGTTTTTTATGATTTTTACAAACAAACTAACCTTAAGTGCGAAATAACAGTAGCGATGTTGTGTTCACCAAATAAATTCACAGCAAATGTTCAAACTGAAGTCCTCCTACTTCCTGACAGTAAAATAAACGAGACGTGAACTCTTCCCTCACGTTATGGAATGTTTCCTCAGTGATTTTTCTGCAGGCTTCAACAATCCTGTGTCTCAAGTCTTCAATATTCTGTACGGGAGTTTTATAAATTGTCGATTTAATAAACCCCCATAGAAAAAAATCCAAAGGTGTTAGATCGGGGGACCGTGCTGGCCATTCTATCCGGCCACGCCTGCCAATCCACTGACCATTCAGTTGTGTATTTAGAAATGCTCGGACCTGTCGATGAAAATGAGGGGGAGCGCCATCCTGCTGGAAGTGAACAATATCTTCATCAAACTCATGTGGATGTTGTGCAATAACTTCCACTATGGCTGGAAAAACCGACTCTTGAAGCATTTGCAAATAATGTTCTCCATTGAGGTTGCCATCGATGAAAAATGGTCCTAGGATATGATTACCCAACATCCCAGCCCATACATTTAATTTTTCTGGGTACTGCGTTGAGGATTCTCGGTAAACATGGGGGTTTGCAGTATCCCAGTATCTGCAGTTATGTTTATTGACAGTTCCATTAACAAAAAAAGTGCATTCGTCTGAAAAAGCTACATTATACACGAAATGTGGATTAGCTTTGATTAGTTCTTCCATTTCTTCGCAAAATTGAAGTCGACGGTCTAGATCATCGTCGTTTAATGCATGGACAAGTTTAAATTTATAAGCGTGAAATTTATTTTTCTTTAAAATATTTCGAACTGTTTGATGGGATAAGTCACACAGTGTAGCAACTGATCGAGTCGACTGCTGAGGATCCTCTACAAATTCTGCCACAACTTCAAATTGTGTTTCTTCGTCTAAAGATGTTCGGCCTGATTTTGGAGCATTAGCTACGGATCCAGTTCGTCTGAACTTGCCAATTAGTTCCCTCAAATATTTTCGACACACTGGTCGATCAGGATGTGCTTCGTTGAATCTCCTTTCTGTCTCGTGGTAGTTTTCATTCGAGGCACCAAAAGTTAAAACCATTTCCACCTTATCGTCTTTGCTTCGAGCCATTATTAAAAATTTCTAATAAACTTTTAACAAAAAACTAACTATTGAATAAAGAAACTAAATTAAAAAACCTGACTAACTAAATAGCAACAAACTAACAATTAATTATTAACCTTAGAGAATTTTAATGAACAAAAAAGTCTTTACAGTTATCAAATAGTTACATAATTGTTATTATTAAATAGAAATTGAATTTATGCTGCAGTACTGACCTAGACCTGTCTGTAACAGCTCATTGACAGAATGAGTTGAGGAAACCCATGCCAGGGCAAACAGGGAAAACCGGCTGAGCAAAGGTCATCTAATGAAACAAACTCATGTTCACGAAAATTTCTTATTGTAATAACCTTAAATTTTTAGTTTGTACTTGCTCTGTTGTGGATAACCAATACATTTCATTTTCACTTTTTTTCAAAAGATGTTATTTTGCACTTTTGCAATAATAAAGAAATAAAAGATTTTATTAAAATAATAATTTATTAGCTGTAAGAAATTTTTGGCTGTAGGAAGTAACAGTTTTTTAATTTAATAACATAAGCCTGATTTTTATTGCTCTTTCAAATGAGGGGTCACTCAAAGGGTGTATGCAATAATTACAATTTTGAGTTTCCCAAAAATATTGTAATTTTGAGCGTTTTTGGCTGTAATTCCGGTTAGAAATTAGATAGAAATTTCTAGTTTTCACCATTTACCTAGTTTTTTAATGCTCTTTCAAATGAGGTGTCACAAGCTAGGGGTTTACATTTAAAAATTTTGAGTTACCCCCCTTACCCCCCATTTAGGGGGGGAATTCAAAAATTTTAACTATGTCAAAAGAAACTTCACGTTATGTTACTATCACTCCCCAAACGATATTTCATTATTTTAAAAAATAAAAAAAATAAATAGGGGGGGGGAGACATTTTTTACACACTGTATATAAATATACAGGGTGGTAAAAAAGTCCCTGGACAGTAAAATATTTTAAAAAATAATGCAGATAGAGCTACAATACTTGGTACAAAGTTACAGGGCATAAAACTCTATTTTAACACATATTCAGTGATCCAATAACTCTTCAGGGGGACGGCCCACAAGGAGTCGGAAGAAAATCTTAAATGGAAGCATAGGTCAATATGCACATCAAATTAAAGGTCTTTTTTAGTAGAATACAATGCCACAAACCGCACTTCAAAAGGTTGACCCTGCACAAAATGACAGTTGTTCAAAGATTCATTTAATTTACATTGCTATTATACGCTTTATCCTCAGGGGGCACAGCCCTAGGAATCGGAAGAAAATTGTTAACGTAAGCATAGGTCGATATGCACATCAAATTAAAGGTCTTCACTAGTAGATTACGATGCCGTAAATTGAAGCTCAAAAGAATGCCTGAGTAAAAAATGGCAGTCGTTCAAAGATTCAAAATGGCGGATTCAAGAAATCTTTGAACATCTGCCATTTTGCGCAGGATCAACCTTTTGAAGTGCGGTTTGCGGCATTGTATTCTACTAAAGAAGACCTTTAATTTAATGTGCATATTGACCTATGCTTCCATTTAAGATTTTCTTCCGACTCCTTGTGGGCCGTCCCCCTGAAGAGTTATTGGATCACTGAATATGTGTTAAAATAGAGTTTTATGCCCTGTAACTTTGTACCAAGTATTGCAGCTCTATCTGCATTATTTCTTTTAATATTTAACTGTCCAGGGACTTTTTTACCACCCTGTATATATATATATATATATATATATATATTTTTTAAAATCAAAATTTATTCATTGACTTATCAAATTATTTTTATTCAAAACAATTCCTCCATTTAAAATACAGTACATCTGGGTTCAAGATTATCACTAAAATTCAACCATGTTTTTATTTATGTGAACCCCATAATTTACAAAATTATTTACAACAATGAACAGTGACAGTGCAGTTAAGGCATCCAAGAAGAACATACAGAAACACAGTTGTGATAAATAAATTGTGAAATTATGAAATGAAGTATTGTCAAAATATCCAAATTAACTGAAGAAAGGAGGATTTAAGCCTATCCAGAAGAAAATTATTATTATAGAAGATTGGTGAGAACATTCCATTTATTATTAACTCAAACTATAGACATCTCCAGGATCCATTTTGGGACTAAAACTACCTCAATTTCATTAACAGTAACAAAAGAAAAGAAAATTAATAATCTTACTAAAATATTGTTTCAAAATTATTGTTCAATTTACATCCTTATTGTAGGTATTTTATAATAAATCTTTTGATTCACAGTCTAGACACGAATCCCACCCCCTGAAAAATTGTTGTAACCACTTATTTACCATTGAAAATTGTATTCAATAACATCTGTACCTCATCATTTCTATTATTAGTGTATGACAAAAATAAAATAACAACAACATATTTAGAGGTTTATTTCATCACAAAATTCAATTTTATAACTTAATTTAATCAAAGTCTGTTTTTTTTTTTTTTTTTTTTTTTTTTTTAAAGTAAACCCTAGAAACTTATTTGCCAACTTAGTACGAAATATAGCAGATAGCCTACAGAAATGAAAAACTGTACTGATATGATTTAATTGTCAAAGATACACTGACTTATCCCTAGTTGGGTGTTGCATGTAAATTTGACGTAGGGCGAGTTATTTTTAGCGTCCACCCCCCCTCCCCAAAACCAATGCTACCCTCCTTCCAGCGGTGGTCTCAGCAGTCATTTGCCTTGTGATGGCTGCCTTGGTTTGGTCGTGGTGTATTCAGGCTGTCTAGTTTATTTCCATTTTCAAATTCAAGACTAATTCCTGACTTTTCAAGACTAATTCCAGATTTTTCAAGATTATTTTTTTTTTCAACAAATAGTGAGTGTTGATACCAAAATGTAACAATTCTCGTTTCTTGATACCA